ACAACTCCCACCCCCATTGCCTTTCACTCCGTGTAAGTCCCCTCTTTAAGGCATTAGTGCCCGCTTTATGTACCGTACTGACCTCTATCAAACATTATGTACAGAACAGTGGATTTGGGGGGAGAAAGCGATCACAGAAGACGGACAGGCTCGGAAAATCTGTTTTGGGTAACAGTGTGGATGTTAGTCTTTTCGGTCTGCAGCACTGACAAATTACCCATGTTTTCACTCAGACAATGGCGTTGACAGGGACCATCTGTGGAACCATCTGCGAGGACTCTTCACCTCTCAAATGTGAGAGTGTTGTACCGTTTTAAATACACACAACTACACCCTCTCGGCAGGCATGGCTCCAGGTCCCGCATCGCTGGAGAACAAACAGGAAAGACCATCCCGTGACCAACAAGGTACCACGCTGTTACCCTGCTATAACTCTTGGCCCGGCCTGGCAGACCTAAACGGGGTGTGCGCTGTGTTTTTCATTCTTAAATCAACACGGTGCATACAGAAATAGAAGTCCATCTCCAATAGGTCTCATTCCAAGTAATCATCCCACACTTCTTTTAGAACTACGTCAGTAAACAGCTATAGGACACGGAGCACTCAATTAACTGCACTCTAGCATGAGCCTGCAGTGAGTCTCAAATTTGCTGGGCTGATGGTGATTCATCCCTGTATGCCCCAGAGGTAAGAGGTGGGACTTTGAGAACTGGCTGCTGATGCATTGGCCAGTCATGCTCCTTCAATTTCTTCCCATCTTATCTCGGGGAAACAAGTACGACCAGACAGGGGCATTAAATCAGTGCAGTAAAGGTCCGTCGTAAAGACACTATGCATCTATTCACTGCTAACCAGAGGTAACCTGCAGCTGGTGGTCTGCTGAGATACACTACATGTAAAAGAAACCAGTCAGATCTAACAATTCCTCCGTGCCATGGTCACGATTGTGTCTCTTTGTTGCTCTGATGCTTTGAAGATCTGGCACTGTTCAGCTGCAGGATATCTGACTCTCCCTCTTGTCCTACTAGCAAAAGCAGGTACAATGCCCCTGGGTGTTTTTAGCAGATCTCTGTTGGCAAACTCTCCCTGTCTCGAAACACTGCAACACTGAAAAACAAGCTTTAGTCCAAACTTTGAGACAAAAAGAAAAAAAAAACCCTGCTGGCAAGCTCGGCCGTAAGTGCTGAAATGCAAAATAGATTCAGGCGTCACTCTGTACCTATGGGTCAAGAGAATTACTACAGTTACAACATATGCACAGAGGTGATTGTAATAAGCTAAATATAAGTGTAGGAGATTTTAAATATGTAGTGGAAAGCTGAAAAGTGCTGCCTATACTATAAATAGACTGGTGTTTACAGTATGGATTCAAACAGCCCAATTCTGTTTTGGATGTTTAACTCCTTGCTCTCATGGGGAAATTTTCTGTAAAGGCCACATTAATTACCTCTGTCTTTTCCAATATGTCAACACTGTTTAGGCAGATCTAATCACTAGTTTCAGAGAGCCCACTGAATCGATTCTCGTCCACCGCTCTGATGAGAATTTGAAGATGAAGCCACTCCCTTCTGAAGCTCGGCCACAAGCGGCACAATAATGCATCTCCTCTAATAAATTGAAAGATATGCTCGATAACAGGACACAAAAGCCTGCAGGTATTTAGCATTTAGGTTCAAAGCTCCATGTGTGGATTGTGAAGAGCACAGAAGAACATGTCATGCACCTTTACCAACTGTGGCCATGGTAACAGCAAGATCAGAAGACGAGAATCAGTGATTAAACGCTGTGTGTGTGTGTGTGTGTGTGTGTGTGNTGTGTGTGTGTGTGTGTGTGTGTGTGTGTGTGTGTGTGTGTGTGTGTGTGTGTGTGTGTGTGTGTGTGTGTCCACTAGTCTGTGTGTTTGTAGTAGACTAATACCTGTGCCAAATTTCAAAACCCATGCGAAACAGGTCATTGTTGCAACTGACATAGCTGAAAGCACAGCAGGGTTTGAGAGGAAGACAAGCTGAAGACATGGGATTATGGGTACAGTCAGCTTGTATCCTTTAGCTTTAAATAATGCAGTTAGTGTGCGAAGCACTTACTTCATTCCTCCATCTTTTTTCACCTTTCCCCTAAACACCCATGTTTCCTCTCCATCCTTCATTTTCTCTTGTTTAATGTGACCAGACCTGACAAACATCATTTTTCTCTTTTCTGATGTTTCTCTCCTGCCTATTTCCATTCTTCCCCTGTATGGAAAAACAATCACAGGCTAGCAGAACCACAGAAAAATACAGAGAGAGGAGTACCAGCAGAAGGGTGTCGTCCAATCACTACTGTGGTTGCTCATGTGAGAGGAGGCAGCTGCAGATATCTCGCAGACTGTTCATTCAGTCTTTTCTCCCCTCCCCCATTTAATCCCCAAGCTTCAGGTTCTGTAGGAGGAGTTGGAGATGGTGGAACTGGGAGGCTGATTCTCAGCTTCTTTTTTTTCTGTCCTCTTTCCATATTAACACCAGAAGCAATGGAGCGTTTTGGTCCAAGTAAGTCTGTTTACAGCACACACACACATGCTGCGTTGACCCTCCAAGTGTAACAACCCCAGGGTGCAGGATAAGATAACATCACAACAAGTAGGCAACTGAATCACCTGTCCAGCAGCACAGCTGGAGTTGAGAGCTGCCCTGCCCACATCAGCATTTGGAGGCATCACTGATGTTTTTCCTCCCGGTCTGCAGGCACAACAAGCCCCAATGTGCGCTCCAAAAAATCCTGCAGCAACGCCCAGGGACTGCAACCACACAATCTCCCACATGACTTACCAGGTCTGTTTTCTTCTATCAGATCTGCAACAAGGAAGCACTCGTCTTGAAGTAGTGCAGCCACTCAGTGTTGTATTAATTCATCTTGAAGGAGGGTTAAGACAGAACCCACTGAGCTCCACCAAGAGTTATATTTATCATCCACTCATGAATAAACTTAGTACATAATCATAACAGCAAAGCATGCTGCTGTAAATCAGTGCAACAATTCAAAAATATGGAGGCGATCTGGATGAACACCTCTGCATGAATTCTGCTGCAGAGCAATGTTTTCAGTGAGACATGTTTTCCCTAAAACAAAAGAATCAATCAAATGTTCATTTCCATAGCCTAATTGGTACCTCACATAGGTTAATTAGCAGCAAGATTCATGCATACTGAGAGCGCTACACACAATCACCAATCTTCCCTTTTCATTCAAATGACTCAGTAAGTCTCTGACTCATAAAGACATTGAAATGTGTTCCATCAGATTAATAAATACAGGCAATGAAATATGTTCCCTCCTAAGAGATCACCTCTCTCTCTCTCCCTTTCTCTCCTGAATGAAATGCTGCATTCATTCAACTTGTAAATGAGAAATTATAAAGCACTGAGTCACCGGCCAAATGCACTAACCTCAGAGCGATTTTAGGGTGAGGATGCAATGTTTGAAAAAAAATCCTTCGAAGGAGATCGCACAGCCTACCTGAGAATCCAGCCCCTGCCTCCCTCTCTCCGCTCTCTCTCGCTCACGGAGCTGTCAGGGAATGATGCGGACTAAATTTCTGTGCAGCGCTCGGATCCGACCACTGAGTTAGTCATTGCGCATGGTGCCTGTCACCAAAACCTTTTTTTTTTTTTTTTTTCCTTTCGCCTGGAGGAGTCTGTTGCTTGAGGCACAGCGGATCACCACAATGTATGGGAACTCGTCTCCTACAATGCGCGGAGGATGGAAAGCCCTTGGTACCCTGGGAAGGAAACCCCTGGATCTGAAGTGATAACACTGATGCTCAAGTGGGCAGTCATCACCTGATGCAATTGTCTCTGTAACATAGTGTCTAAATTTGTCTCATCATCCTGGCAGCCCTATTGAGAAATCACTGTCATTTTTATACGATTATGTGCAGTGCTTTATAACTGCGCTTCATGTTTTTTTCTCCAACATGTACAATACATGGCATGCTTGTTCAAACTTTAATTTTGTTTTTTTTAAAGGTTTTCATTTAAATGAAGTCACTGTTTCATTTTTTCTTGTTACTTTTCTATTTTGTGTCTATTTTAATCCCTCATTGCAATGGACCCTCAGAAAAATCCTAAATATTCTGAAATCTTTTCTTTTTTTTACAACATGACAGCAACATTTACTGAATTATGAACTTTTCTTGTTTCATTCACAATAGTTTGGTTAATATTGTTCTGCTGCAACAATTAAATGTACGAGAAATAATCGCTGAAATTCTCACATCAGTGTCTCAATTATATGAGCTCAGGAGACCACGCGTGGATTCTTACTGTGGGGACATTGCGCCATCTAACGGATCAAGTAGTCATTGCACCAAAGAAAACGTGAAACCAACGCACCGCTTTATTTTTTAACTGATGACATTTCTTTGTATCGTAAATAAAATCGGTAGAGAGATTGCAAAAACACAGCCTTTGTGAAAATTACTTGCATTTACAACATAAAAAGCTTAGTTTGTGGTGGTAGTAGTGTTTGTTTGCCACACCTACACACAATCAAAGACTCGAGGTGGAGCAAAACATACATCCTTCGTACTGCCTTGATCGTTTTTTTGAGCGGACTCAAATAAAACAAAAATACTTGCTCTCTCACTTAGAGTCTGTGCATCAATGTGATTTAAAATACATGTCAACTCTACCGATAGCAGCATAATGTATAAGACCTTGGTTTTTCTCGAAAATGTTTGACTGTAGTTTGTATTAAGAGTCTGCTGCGCATGCGTGAGACAAGCAACCGGAAGTCAAATAACCGTCCATAAAACCTTACTCTGTTAGCATTTTAACGTTATTTATTATAAAGCGTTAAACAGGTGGGAGAAAGTACAGGCAAGCAGGGACTGAATTTCACCGACTGGAATTTATAACAATTTACATTTTATAATGTTTGGGCTGTGCGATGATGGGAATTATCTTGATGGTGTAGCTTCTTTGGTCACGTGATTGAGTCTTCCCGTTGAATCACCTGATGTGTTGTGTTTCTCATCAGGAAAAATGGCTGCCCACCTGTCTTACGGCAGAGTGAACTTAAACATCCTGAGAGAGGCTGCACGGAAAGAGCTTCGAGAGTTTTTGGACAAATGTGCGGGGAGCAAGGTAATAAAGCCACAAATATATACAAAACATGGCTAATGCAGCGACAGTTATCCACAGGAATTAGACAGTTTCTTTACCCACAACGTTACCCTAGAGCTGTCAACTATGTCAGCAAAATGCTGCAGATTATGTCTAGATAAGTCTGGTTTGAGTGTAATTGCAATAAAACTACATCCTCTGACGATATGGCCTCAGGCCTATCTGCATGTGAGTTGTCTTATTCCTGAGTTAATTATTCGAACCATTTGCTAATAGCTAGTAGCTTCACCAGTAGCACTTCAGGCAAAGTGGGAGAATTTGTGTATCCTATATGAAAAGGGGAACATTTGCTCCACTTTTTTTTATGTCACTTAGAGTTATAGTGACAGCTGAAATGAATATACAGACAAGAAAATGCTGTAAAGAATGTGATGTTAAGCAGTGTAGTTCAACCAAGGGGAAGAGCAGTCAGAACATCCCTTAATATGGCTTTATGAGGAAGTAGCACTGTTTTGGATTCAAGCTGAAAAGTGCATCTCTGTTTACAACTCAGATTTTGGCATTTACCCATAAAATAAGAGAAAACATACAGGGTAGGATGAGGTCGAATTGAAGACTGAGGTTAAAATTTGATTCTGGCAAGTTGATTAGATCAATTCATGGGTTTATAGCCATTTATGTTACATTTATTATTACTTTTTCCTGTTTGTGTCAATGAACTGATAACTATGTATGGGAGTGCATGTATACACGTATAACTATGTGCAATTATGTGTGTGCACAAGGTGTATGTGGTTGTGTGTAGACATGTGTCTTTAGTTTTTTGTATGTTTGTGCATGTATTTATATGATTATGCTTATGTGTGCATGTATGTTTGTGTATGCATACATATGCATATGGATATTAGTGTATAGCAGATAAACCTATGAATGGATGTATTTGTTTGGATATGAATGCGAATCCACCCCTTGTAAAATATATACAAAAGGAATTTCAGGTTTTGATTTGTTGTCTTTTTCCTGTTATTGTTGTTTCTTTTTTGTTACTCTGTTTGCTTCAAATATGTGTACCTCTTAGACCCCTAATAATGATCTAATAAATTATTTTTGCATACAGGTCATTTTTCAGGCCTGACAACAAATATTTATTACTGTTTGTGCTTTTGCTGTATAGGCTATAGTTTGGGATGAATATCTGACCGGGCCTTTTGGACTGATAGCTCAGTACTCTCTACTGAAGGTAAGTGCTTTCTTTGCACAGCTTATGCATCATAAAGTACCAGACAATGATTAGATAATGCATGGTCAGGTTTCTTTTCACAGTAGTGCCAAATGTCAAAAGTGGTTTAGATGCTTTAAAATTGTCATTACTAAACATGTGTTGTATATTTTTTTTACTGTGTTTTCCAGGAACATGAAGTGGAAAAGATGTTCACTCTCAAGAGCGGCAGGCTCCCCTCTGCTGATGTCAAAAATATCATCTTCTTCGTCCGCCCCAGACTGGAGCTTATGGACATCATCGCTGAGAATGTATTTAGGTGTGTTTATGTTTCTCATTTTGAACCCCACGCAGTAAAGCGATAAAGGGATTTTCTTGTTTTCAAATCCTTTCTCTCATGCTGCAAAGCTGTCTACAATGTGTAACATTTTTGTCCTTTTTTTCAGTGAGGATAAGCTGCATTCATCACGAGACTTTCACATTTTGTTTGTGCCTCGACGGAGCATGCTGTGTGAACAGCGGCTGAAGGAACAGGGTGTGCTGGGATCTTTTGTCAACATCGATGAGTATATCCTGGACCTGATTCCCTATGATGGTGACTTGCTCTCCATGGAATATGAAAGTGCTTTCAGGGTGTGTTTATTACTGACATAATGAAAACGTTAGAGATCTCTTGAAGGATTGAAAAATATTTTCTCCCTTCATCCAGCCTTATAGGTGTGATGTTTATCTATCTGTGACATAAACACATTTTTACTCCTCTTGGTCTCACTCAGGAATGCTACCTGGAAAATGACCAAACAAGCCTGTACCACACAGCCAAAGGCCTCATGACCTTACAGGCACTGTACGGTACGATTCCACAGATCTATGGGAAAGGAGACTGTGCACGGGTGAGGATGATGTTGAGGCGTGTGCAATTAATGATAATTGTTATTTTGAAGTATCTGTTTTTTAATTGGACAGAAGCTCACAGCAGCCAGGTAAATACATTTGTCTGACATAGAAAGTCTTTACTTGTTTTCAGCATGTTGCCAACATGATGTTGAGGATGAAGAGGGAGTTTGCTGGCACTCAGAATCAGATTCTGCCTGTGTTCGATACTCTTCTGCTTCTGGATCGTAATGTGGACCTGCTCACCCCTCTGGCCACACAGCTCACCTACGAGGGTCTCATTGACGAGATCTATGGAATCAATAATGGTTAGAATAAAACATTTTAAATTTCTATTCATTATGTGTGTCTATCAGTGTGATATCAAGGCTCAGCTATAGTTACACAGTTACAGTTAGTGTTGGACATCTGCATATCTTCCTGTGTTGCTTGTTTGCAACTTTATTTTTACTGAAACGGGAAAGGGCGTTTTAATTACATATGCAATATGTCACCTCTTAACGACACAGTCAGTTCTTCTCTGTCTTTTCTATATTGATCAGATTAATAGTCTTGAGATGAAGTTCAGCCATTTCCATATGATTGCTTTCTTGCTAGCATCTAAGAGTTTAAATATTAACCCTGAGCCATGAGTTTGACTGGAATGTTGCTGAATGCGACAGCACAGCAATTAAATTCTATTCAACATATGTTATTTAGTCTGTTTCATTCTTTTTTTTAAAATCTCCAGTCTTTGTTTTTTATCCCACTGCATTATAGGTTATGTCAAGCTGCCTCCTGAGAAGTTTGCACAGAAGAAACAAGGTGAGGCGAGTAAAGACTTACCCACGGAGCCCAAGAAGTTACAGCTCAACTCAGCGGAGGAACTGTATGCGGAAATCCGGGACAAAAACTTTAACGCTGTTGGTGCAGCACTCAGCAAGAAGGCCAAAATTATATCTGCTGCTTTTGAGGTTGGTCTTGCTTCAACTTTGCCCGTCTCACCATATTTTCCTGCTGTAATACAACTATCATGTTATATTCCCTTCATTACACAAATGTTTTTAAAAATGTCATTACAATGTTTGGTACTTTCATTGAGATACATTGAATCATTTCCAGACATTCCAGCTGATCTAATCTAATTTTAATCTTTGTGACATTTTACACGAAAGGTTCTAACAGAAATCAATTAGGTTAAAAAGGGGATAAGAACAACTCAGATGTAAGATAAAGTACTAATTGTCCAAACAGAATGCTCTACAAGAGCAAACATGTTACTGGTCTCTCATCAGATTAGAACACTGAGGTACAGACGGGTGACAAATTAGAGAGAGAAAAAAAAGAAAAACCTACAGTGAGGATCTGGTGGCTCTGTTTTGCTGTGGGGTGCGTTTTGCTGGCATGGTTTGGGTCCACTTGTCCTTGAGGGAATGATTGCTGCAAATCATTACAGGAGTGTTCTGACTCATCACCTTTGATTAAACGGTTACATCCTGTTGGATGAGTATGAAAATGATGTGAATCATATACTGTGGCCTTCACAGTCACTAGATCTCAACCCAGTAGAGCACATATGGGAAATTTTGAAACTATGTTTTAAGATAAAAGATTTAAAAAACAACAACAACAAAACAAACATTTTAGACAGCACTCTCCACATCCATCATCAAAACACCAAATGAGAGAATATCTATCGGGAGAATGGTGTTTCATCCCTCCAGTAGAGCTCCAGAGACTTGGAGAATCAATGCCAAAGAGCATTAAAGCTGTTCTGGCTGTTCTGTTTTAGTCTTATTGGAATTTTTTTTTAGACATCAGCCTGAGTTAAAAAACATTTCACTATTGATCACAAAGCAAAGTAAAAGTCTAAAATCTCTCTCTTCTTAGTATGTCCTTGGATTCAAAAAGCACCTATTTTTTCTTTATTTGTGAAGTACCGGTCCTCAGCCAACCAACTGACATTTGCTTCATCAAGTAATTAGCTTATTCTGTGTTGTGTCAGAGTTGTATTTCACTGTGAAAACTGATGATGGGTTAAACTGTATTGCTTGCAAATATGATTAAATATACTGGCTTCCTCACTTTCCCTTGGTATATTACAATCGTCTGCCATGTCTAAGCCTATTTTGCGTTACATGTTTTTACTTGTGCTCTTAGCGATTGACTTTTTTTTTCTGATAATGGTTGCTATCATTTAAATATTGTTTCACTAACTTCAGTATCCAAAATTCAAACTGCTCTGCAAGTAATGTGACACTTGTTTTGTCTTTCAGGAGCGCCATAATGCTAAAACAGTGGGAGAAATAAAGCAGTTTGTGTCCCAGCTGCCTCACATGCAGGCAGCACGAAGCTCACTGGCAAACCACACTTCCATAGCTGAACTGATCAAGGATATCACCAGTGAGTAGATAACCCTGTGTTTTCCTCTTAAACTGAACTACATTTTTTTGTGTATATTTTGTCCCACATCTTACATTATATTTTGTCAAAGCTTTCACACAGACTTTATTTTAGCAAAATACACTCATTATCCACCAATTCAAGGCATTGTTTGTTGTGATAATGCTTTCATATTTGTGTGCTTGGAATAGTTTTGTGGTAAAATACTTACAATCTTTCATTCCTCCTGGTTTTAAGGACTGTAATACTCCTTATTTCTCTCATTATTCTATGTTAAAGGTGTCTTCCAGGTTTGTTATAATGTAGTAAAGTCTCACTCCTGTTTCAGCATCTGAGGCCTTCTTTGATAATCTAACAGTGGAGCAGGAGTTCATGACGGGTGTCGATACAGACAAGGTATTCTTCATCTTGGCACCCTCTGTTTCTCCAATGGTGATCAAACAGATGCATAAATATACTCTGTTTCACATGATTTCACTCAAGTTCACTGAGATCCTTAAAATAACTTCCCTATGCAGGTGAACACATATATAGAAGACAGCATTGCCCAGAAGGATCCGTTGATCAAGATTCTGCGTCTGGTGTGTATGCAGTCAGTCTGCAACAATGGCCTCAAGCAGAAAGTGTTTGACTACTACAAGAGAGAGATCCTCCAGGTAGAGTTAAAGATATCAAAAAGAAAAATAGTCATGAATTGCTGTGTTATTGTGACTTTTTTTAAAGCATAATTCAGTTGTATTACATGAATATTTAGAATTACCAATGTCTTTTTTTCTTTGTCTTGAAGACCTACGGTTATGAACACATTCTAACACTGAACAATCTAGAAAAGGGAGGTCTTTTGAAGCCACAGACAAGCTCAAGGAACAACTACCCCACCATTAGAAAAACCCTTAAACTGTGGATGGAAGACGCCAATGAGCAGGTACAAGATTTCTGAAAATTAGAAAGCACTGAGGATTAAACTCAAATAATTTCGAGGGGTTCACCTTGTCTCTTTGTGTGTTTGACTCCCTCAGAACCCCAACGACATCTCGTACGTGTACAGCGGCTACGCTCCGCTAAGCATCCGACTGACTCAGGTCTTGGCGAGGCCCGGGTGGCGGAGCATCGAAGAGGTGCTGAAGATGCTTCCAGGCCCACACTTTGAGGAGAGACAGCAGCTTCCCTCTGGGCTACACAAGAAACGTAAGCACCGATACAAACTAGGGCTGCTGTTTGCCCTGCTGCTTGCTACAGAATAATAAAAAAAAAAAAAACAGCCTCCTGCCTGCTACATGTAGATAAGACACAGGCTTTGTTTCAACTCAAACGCTGAGCAGCAGCAGATTGATGACACAAAGCTGACAACGCCGCACAGCCGCTGTCAGTGTTTGTCATCTCTGTGTGTGTGTGCCTGTGCTGAAGAGAAGGCTAAATAAAAACAGTCTGTGTTTGATTTGTGAGTGACAACCAGTGCTTTCCCTCAGTTTTCCTCCATCTTTTCATTTTGGCAGCGGTAGGTGTTACACTGATGTGAATAATGAATTTAATTACACACTCAATTTGAAATGTGCTAATTAGAACTGCGAGTTTGGACATTACACAGTTGACTTGTTGCTACATGCCTGTCTTACATTGGTTTTTAGAGGTGTTAATAGAGGACTCCAATCTCAGGGGAGGGTACGGCTAAATTAGTGTTTTCATATTTTTAAAAAATGGTACTTTAGCAGAAGGGATTTGGTACTCTTTTACATTCAGGAATCTGATTTGCCACCTGAGAGTGAAATCAAATACAAATAAGTTGAAATACCCTTTGTTATGCTGCACTGCGTGACATCCACATTCTCTTGATGTTGCAAAGGCCAACAGGGGGAGAATCGGACAACGCTGGTGTTCTTCCTCGGTGGAGTGACGTACGCAGAGATAGCCGCCCTCCGTTTCCTCTCTCAAATGGAAGACAGCGGAATGGAGTATATCATTGCCACCACAAAACTCATAAATGGCACAACTTGGATCAAATCCCTCATGGACCGGCCTGAATCCCAGACGCCCTGAGTCACCTGCATGTGCACCTGGCCACATCAAACACCCCCAAACATCCATCAGAAAAGCTCAGCTGCCGTTCTCATGTCGACACCAGTGTACTGCAGGTGTTTCATTGATGTCTGTGCTGATTAAACAGCAGCAGCATCTTTAGAGGTTCCCCTGTGGAGTTTTCTTGCAAATAAAGTTATGTTCACGTCTGTGTTACTGATCAAGACGCATAATGTGTGCGTTTCCTTTTGGCCTTGAATGTGTCTTGCATCATCTGCGGTCTTGTGCACGCTCAAGATCCACATGTAAAAACATTCCTCCTTAGTGCTTCTAATGAGCCCGACTGGGTACACTGAATAGACAGTACAGTATAAATCTGGATTAATGCTACCGTCTATTGTACATCTCTTTGTCCTCTGCTTATGTTTCCATCACTGAGAAAAGCTACTGTATATATGTATGTACGACTACAACCTTGGAGATGTTTGTGATAATGTCATGTATAAGATTAAAGATGCACTTTGATTTGCATTTTTGAAAGCTTTTCTTGGCAGTTTTTTTGGTTTGTTTTGTGTGGCCTTAGCCGGGGTTAAAAATAAAGTCTTAACTCACTGAAATTACTCTTGTATTATGTGATCATGTGACAAGCCATTTTGCCTATTGTCTAGTAGGTAATTTTTGGAGAGGCAAGCTGATTGTAAGCAGATGAAGGGCAGGGATGGGAGTGTATCCGTCAGCAGTGGTCCAGCTCTCTGAAGGAGCAATTAGCACAGTAACAGGCCTCCTGATCAGCCGATAATGGCCCTGTGCTGTCTGGAGAGCTCAGCCCACGGCTGCCCATGATTTGACAGCGGAGGACACTGATTGAATTAGGAGGCCATTTGCTCCATGTTCCGGTAGAGGATAACTGGGCTGCAGGAGGGTGCTTGATCTCTGTATCAGTCAATATCTTCTCCGTGCCTGACACTGTATACAAAGGGAGACCTGCTGGCAGCACTCGGATATTTTTGGTGAACTCCGCTCAGGTAATCTATGCTGATTTCCTCTATGTTGATTGGATAGAAGACTTGGAAGCTGCTTTGGTTTAATTTCATGAGAAAACAATTGTAAATTTTGGCCAACAATCTTACAGTTGTGTCTCTTTGTTTGAGGAGCAGGTGTGCTGAAGACGTAAATTGCCATTAGAACACTCCCAGGGGATTCAGATCCTGGCAATCAGTTTTTGCTTTTGGCTCCTCCTCTGCAATAAGGGCTTGAAACGCTCAAGACACCAACACACACCAACTTGGACTTCAGGGCTGGAAACACAGGAGCCCTCCCTCTGATCAGCTCCTGTCCTGCTCCAACAGCACCAAGGTACAAGTTGTTACATCTTTTTTGATATATTCTACATTTTAAATGTGTGTAGGATTCATGTATGTTTGGATTTTGTCTCTTTTTGCACAGTTTAAGTCATTGACATTTACTACATGCAAACATAAGATATTATATTCTTTGTAATGTGAGACAACAAAACTGTCTCTCTCACATGGTTCATATATGAGTTTGCCTGTAGCTTCTGTTGCATGATAAATATTTACTTAGAAAACATATGTATTAAAAATTATATCCAACAGCTTCAGCATTTTCATAAAATCATCTAAAAGCAGTGAAGTTACGGTGAAAGATAACTGTGAAAGATGTTCAGCATATTGTTTGTGACTGTACACAAACAAAACAGATCAATACTGAACCCATTTAGGACAATTTACAGATAAATTATTAACAACGGTCTTGAAGCAGTGCATTTCTCTCTGTGGTTACAAGGCTTTAGTTTGCACCTTTAATACACATTTTAAAACACTGAAATTAATGCATTTGCTGCTTAAGTAAAGCATGACAACATGTATCTCACTGACTTTAACCTTTTTTGTCTTTATATTTATATATTTTATTTATTTATTCACAGAATCCATACTGTCGGTGTTGTTACGTGCAGATGTGTGCGTTTATTGAACTTTCAGAAGGCCAAGTCTCTTGAAATCTGACAAATGTGTGTGTGTGTGTGTGTGTGTGTTTGCAGAATGGGCCGAGGTGAGAACATGGGACACCTGACTCAAGCCAGTCACAGGCAGAAGACGCAACAGGAGCCTCTGGACGTAGATCCTTTGTTTATCCGCTTTCTCCGGACATTCAAAGAAATCCTCAAATTTGTTCTCTTCAGCTACACGGTGCTGTTTGGTGCTTTGCTCCTTGCAAGATGGACCACTTATTTTATGGTGGGAAAGTAAAATGAGAACAACCACTAACGAATGAGCCTGTTCTTGGACTCAGCGCTCACAGGCAGACCTTGCTGGGATTTGTGGTCTATGCACTTCCTATAAAACAACAAAAACAGCTGGAGTTATCGTGTTTCTTCTTTTTTGATTTGCATTCTGCAATAGAGCTCATGGCTTTTGTACTTTTTTTTTTCTAAATTAAACTAAACAGGGTGTTTAGAGCAACTCTACAGTGAAACTCATTTTAAACATCCCATGTGTTTGGTGAAAGTGTGTTTAAATGTGCAATTTAGGATCTGTATGCTGCAAAATAGACGTTTGTATGGTTGTGTAGCATACAGTAAAGCATTGTATATTTGTAACGGATTAAAAACTGTTTTTTTCTTTAGAAGTGCACATGAAATTTGACAAAAATGTTTATCTAAATGAGGCTTATTTGCAATGGCAATGTCAGTGGGGAATGTTTCTCTTGTAATAATTTCTCCTGAGTGAATTAGTGGAGCAAAGCTGTCCCCGCTGATGCTAATCCTGTGTGTCTGAGAAAGCTGAATCACCAGGCAGGCATAGTGGGCAACTTCCCCAGGGACCCCAAGCTCCTCGAGGACTTGAAGGCTCCAGGTTTACTGCATGACAATTAGTGGTAATATGAAAAAAGTCAAAAAACTGATTGGCAATCCTGTATGCACCATTGAAACAAATATAAACAGAAATAATTTAGGCCTCAAGGTGATGCTGCCATTATTCCCTGATGTTGGCCCTTAATATTGTTTTAAGGCCTTTATGATTTCCTTTTATAGTGTGCTTACAGTGTGCATATTTCTGAATAAATTAGTGATTAGAGGGAATTACAAAAAAAAAAAACATGTGGCTTTAGGGGTATGATACTAACCTTGAACTGCAATGTCTCTGGTGTGGATCTGGATTTTGGTTTCTGCAGCATCTCCTTGTTCTTTCTTGGTATCGCTTTGCTGGCACTATCTTGCAAAATTCTCCTCAAAATATATATATATGCATTAAAAAAGACTAAGTAATGCATAAAGGACAAATAGGTGGAGAGGCGTGACTAATAATATGATACCTTTTCTTTTTTTTACTACAGTAGACAGTTTGACTAGACTGGTCATAGTGCAGCCGGTCCACTTGATGGAACTGAGCCATCACACACAAAATTTGTTTCACCTGCATTTATTTTCTTGCAAAAAGTCAGAATATCTGCTGTGAAGAGAGACTGTCACATTGTCATGACTTGCACATGCTTTTTGTGCTGTGGCAACTGATAATGTTGTGGAAAAGGCCGAGCCATCATTTTTGGACCGGGTAAATCAGGTCCTCATGCCAGTACTCCAGTTCCCTTGAAAGCAATTTTTCCTTTTCACATGAATGCATCAAGGCTAACCTATTCAGAGAAGCATCATGCAAAGCTGATGTTTTGGTGGCACGAAACAGCAGCTGGTGCTGTGGATGCTGTCTGACAGCTGGAGGTGCCACTTTGACTGCAATATGGTCACTGAAGCACCCTCTTATCTCAACTCCTGCTCTGATTCAATTTTTGTTTGACAAAGTGAAATCCAGGCGTGTTATCAGCCGTCATGGCCTACCAACATTGAATTCACAGTAAACATCCTTTAAAAAAAAATTTTTTTTTTAGAGCCAATAAGCCCCAAAATGTAATGTTAACAATAAAATAGCATAATGTGAACGTGAAATATATTACACACACACACACACAGAGAGATATTTATATATATAATAGAAATCAAGTATACATCTCTGAATTAAACTTCATGCCAGAGTTTCCTGGCGTCACTTTCTAAATTCACCCTTCCTGCGCGGGTTAGTTCGATTTCAATCCCAGACGCAAGATACATGGGCGGGGTTTATGCATTACGTGGTTTAATTTTAAAAAGTATTTTTTGCTTGACGCTGAAAATTAAAAGCGCGATAAGTGAAGTCACCGTGCGGTTTCTGTGCACGGGAAAAAGACCCACTTTGCTCAAGGTTCGGGTTGAAATTTGACGGTGCACCCTCTCCGCTGTCTGATGCCTGCTGAACGCCGCCCGCGTTGCGCCATTTTGAAAGTGTAATGCTGGAGCAGGCAGAGGCGAGGGAAATCTCAAAGTAGAGTGCAAAGTCTACAAACCAGCAGAGAGGGCTGTAGGTGACTTTCTTTGGCTGAAAACTGCTTCGTGCTGTCGTTATCAGCTGGGCCGAGGACTTTCCAGCAGGCTCTTCGGGGTTACTAGCAACAATCCCAGCTTCATTCCTCCACTGCTCCTCGGTCAGAACCTCCCAGCCGACCCGGGTCAGCACTGCTCCAGACCAGGGCCCCAGCCCGCTACACAGACCCCTGTCTCAGCCGCTCACCATGGCAGGTAAAACTGGAGAAATAAGACTGTCAGGGTGCCGGGGGTTCACTTAGTATTTATCAGCTGCTTTAATGTTTGGCACAGATGATGGGTTGGTCTCTGTTATGGTGAAGCAGCGCAAGCTAGCTAGCAAGCTAGGATACTTCCAAGATGCCAGTGTGAGTCAGTGACAGCGTGAAAGTGAGCTGTTTTGCACAGTAAACATGCTCAAACTACGTCTTGTGCCTGGGAATTTGCTACCCCAGCTAAAATGTGCAGGTAGAATGAAGTCACATGCGGCCTTGTTCTCACATTACTGATTTTTAGCCAAGTTAGCAGCGGGCTAACGCGTGTGAAGTTGTCTCTGAATGTGTTGTGTCAAAACTTGGGCTTGTGTTTTGTGCAGGGCCCGGTGGTGGGAGCAGTGATGTGCAGTGGTGCTTCTCCCAAGTCAAAGGAGCGATAGATGATGATGTTGCTGAAGGTAAGTCCATGTGCTGATCACTGAATGTTTGCTAGCATGCACTGTGTGATTGGCATCCTGTGCATGCATGATGTGAAGTTTCCTTCATTGCATCTGCTGCACCTTCTGTTTGAATGTATTTGTGCATATCATAAAAAGTTATATGACTGCTGTTTTATAGCGTTTATCTGTTTGCGCTGAGGTAGAAGCGTCAGTGGTGTGGCACATTGTTGCTGCTAGTCCATTGGGTCGTCTATTTGTGGCATAATTGCTGAAAATGTCAGCAGTTACTACTTTTACAATCACTGGAGTTTTACTGGTGTGCCATGCAATGTGTGCATGCTTTTGGAGGAGTGGAATGCATATCAGCTTTGAATAGTTTTACCTCTGCAGAGCAAGGGCAAGTCCTAAAGGAGCAGGAGGTGCACTTTTATGATTGAGCAATTATTTTGGTTGGGTTCAACTGCACATATGTTTCACAGATCACACAAAGGTCTTCTTTTCAAAGTGTTTGATTGATCAAGTCAAAATAAAAAATGTTACTCCTCAGCTCTATCGGCATCCAGCTATACAAATGGTCTTTTGAGACTTCATGGTTTCGTTTGAGGTGAGGGAAAATTGTGTTTCTTGTGAACTGACTGTGTAAATACTTTTACACAGAGAACATAGGGGGAATTAATGCAACAACAAAAAAAAGATAAAGGATGGGTGTTAGAATGTGTTTACAGTACATGGTGGACATATTTGTGTGTAAAGTGCTACACAGTTGTTTATAGTAAGCTTTGCTTAAGAGCAAGTATAAATGAGAGCCTCTCCTTATGTCAATACATGGGCTGAAAACTCAACACTACTATAGTAGTTTTATTGACTCCTGCAAAAGTATTCTCCGTCAGTCTGCCTGCTTTTGTTTTATGTGATAGTTTGTATGGCGTCAGGTCGTGTCAGGCACTTTGTCTGCTGTGCTAAGAGTGGAACAACACCATTGTCTATATTAAGGATTGCACTGGCTCAGAATAGTGCCAGTCTGTAAATGGGGATTGATTGTTGTATTGTAGGATTTGTTGAGAATGCTTGTCTTTGAAAAGTGCTGAATAGCTACAGTTTGATTTTTTTCCCCCCCTCATTGAGTGTACATTTATTTCCATCACACCCGAACGCTGTAGTGTGTATACATACATGTGCGTCACAGTTCTGTTGTGTTTTTGCCATGGTTGACATTGGTTTGACCTCTCACAGGTGGACAAAACAGTAGGAAGCATACAATATCTTAAACACTGTTGAAGAAGTTTGTGTTTCATTGGAAGGAAATAAATCGATCAACCAGGAGAACCTTGCAAAATGTCTTTAATTTGAACACACCGCATATGTACACAACAGGATACCTAGCACAACAGATAATTCAATTCTGGAAAAACAGCTTCCTATATTTGATTATATTCTAATTACTATACCTTATTTGCAGCTGACATCATATCGACTGTTGAATTCAACCACACTGGGGAGCTACTTGCCACTGGGGACAAGGGGGGTCGTGTTGTCATCTTTCAACAGGAGCCAGAGGTACGTTTTGGTGACATAACTGAATAAATGTGTAGAAACCGTGTGTGTTTTAACATTTACTGAATTCATAACTTGATGAAGCAGGTTGAACATTTTACTGAATATGATTTAAAAAAAATAAAAATACAATGTGGTTTCTTATCTTGAACTGAAATGCTGACTTTTGCTCTCACCATATGTTTGATCTTAAGTCTTATATATGTTCTGTCTTTGTGTAGAGTAAGAATCAGCCACAGTGCCGAGGCGAGTACAATGTTTACAGCACCTTCCAGAGCCATGAGCCTGAGTTTGACTACCTGAAAAGTCTTGAGATTGAGGAAAAGATCAACAAGATTCGATGGTTGCCTCAGAAGAATGCAGCACAGTTCCTTCTGTCTACAAACGGTTCGTAAAACCACTTGTATTCTAGTTCATTTCATTCACTGTGGCAAGACTCAATTTGTGATGTTTTAAGTAGGAAGCTTTCCATCTGCCCTCTAGAGATGCCAGTAATCTAAATTTACACAACGTCTTTTGTTACTAAAATTGAGCTTTCCGTGATCTCTGCTCTTTCTCACTGGCAGACAAAACTATAAAGCTGTGGAAAATTAGTGAGCGTGACAAGAGACCAGAGGGCTACAATCTGAAGGAAGAAGATGGGAGATACAGAGATCCAAATACTGTCACATCACTACGGGTGTGTATAAAGTGCTTTATCACTGATCAAAGGATGTTGAACATGTATTATTGTGTTGTCATTAAACATGTATTAATATGACAGATTTGTATCGATATGCAATATTTTCACCCTATACTGTAGTCAGTCATTATTGTACCTTTGGAGTGTATAAAATTGAGACCACTGTTGTTACTCATTTAAGAACTTATTGAATTAAGTGTGAGTTAGTTGAAACAGAGGTAAAGTAATAGGATTTTTCTCACCATTGTCTTGCAAACAAAGAATTATCAGTTCTGTTGTTTGATTCATTCAGACATTTATCAGACACTATATTGTACGAGCATGATAAAATAATAAAAGTTCTATTACTGCGATGCCACAATTGATACACAACCCTGTCAGTGGAAAGTTAAAATGTCTGCTCTGAAAAGGCCTATTCAGCTTTAGTTTTCACTGCAGTTTTCTCCCCTGGTCATGTGCATCCTCCAGTTTGGGAAACAGATCTATATTTATTGAACAGTTTCCAAATATAGACTCAGTTTAAGAGACTAGCCTGGACACTGAAGCGAGATCTTTCTTTGTTTGTGTGAAAAGCAGCTAACTGTTTGTGTAAGAAAAATGGAAAAAATAATAACATTGCCACATTTATACAATAGCTAGTATGTACAGTGAAACTTGTATCAGTCTGTGTCCTTACTAGTGCGACAGTTGGGGGTTCATCTGCTTTTTCTTTTTTCCCCCCCAAAACAATTTGAGTTATAGAAGAGAGGACATGATAAAGTCCACACAATGTACTGCATTTTCCATGAAATTAACATGATACTCATCTCACCCCTCTCCTCAGGTACCAGTGTTCAGGCCCATGGACTTGATGGTGGAGGCCAGCCCCAGACGAGTGTTTGCAAATGCTCACACTTATCATATTAACTCCATCTCAGTCAACAGTGATTGTGAGACCTACCTGTCTGCAGATGACCTGCGCATTAACCTCTGGCATCTGGAGATCACTGATCGCAGCTTTAGTATCCTTTTGTTCCTTCATTTCACACAACCAAGGGTTGTGCAATGGTGGCCAAAGTAATAATACCAATTATTTTTCATCAATAATGAGATGATTGCTAATTGATTTTAGGGACAAAATATTGTTAGGGCTTTTTCACATAAAAAAACAAACAAACAAAAAAACAGCAGCACTGCTTTTACTTCCATGTTGTGCTACATTCCTGCTAATGTGCTCATCTTTGAGTCGAAATAATACTCCAAATAAGGTTTATCTTCTCTTGAACTCAGTGCATCTCCTAGAGGCAAAATCCAAATAAAATTTTACCCAAAACATTGAGTACAATCACATGCTGAAGATCAGATTATGGATAGACACAGCAATTTACCAGTGTACCCTAAATGCCTCACAATCAGACAGGAGCTATGCAGCGCTGCACAGAGAAGCCTCGAGTCAATGCATTCATTTGTTGCACTCATTTGTTTATTCATTTATTTTAGTGCACACAACTCAGGCGTGCATTACCAAAAAATACTTTGAAAAGAGAGAAGAAATGCGTTATATTGTTGTATTTGCCTCGGTTGAGACTTTGTGACTTGAAGTCATAGAAATATTTTTGATACACGCTGTTTGTATATTTGAAGTTGTAGATACTGTGTTTAAAGGTAGAACAAACATTTTGTCTATTTTACCTGTACCACAGTGTATTTATTTCTGCTACCACCAGATGTCCCCAGAGTAGACAATGTTAAACTCATACACATAGTGGCTCCAACAAATACATTTTAAAAAGTTAAATGAACATGTTTAACCCCAAAGCATGTTTAGCGTATAGAAATATTTAAGAGATGTTTTGAGCTTAGTACATAACTTTATTTTTAAAAAGCGATTGAGTGTTCTCTTATCAGTGTAGTCAGAAAGTAAAGCCTTTTTGATCGTGGCCTTACTAGTTCGGACCACATATTAATAGGGAATAATAGACATTCTGAATCCTTGGCTGATGAGGGAAGGACATCTTATCTGAAAATTGTTGCATTATACAATTTTCATAACCATGTCAACATCTACAAATCAATGTTTGCTAAGCATGCAAAGCCTTTTGGGCATTTCGGAAAACGGCGTCGGTTGGTTTGATTGTTAGTTAAATAATTCAACCTTTTTTTAAAAAATATATATTTCTGAAGGATTTATTTTAAGTAGTGGTAATGTCTGTTTAGCCCTTTGACCTTAACCTCACTTCCTCAGACATTGTTGACATTAAACCAGCCAATATGGAGGAGCTGACAGAAGTGATCACAGCAGCGGAGTTCCACCCCAACCAATGCAACACCTTTGTCTACAGCAGCAGCAAGGGAACCATCCGCATGTGTGACATGAGAGCATCAGCACTCTGTGACAAACACGCCAAATGTAAGTCTTTCATTTATTTTGTGCATCTAGCTATAAAACTTTGAGGCCTGCTTCCTGAAGGATAAATAATAAACAGGAATAAGTTAAAATGTCTAAAGAAAAAGTTGAGTGTGCTCCCTGTGGTAGAAACCATTGTTTAAATACATGTCAAGAGCCTAAAACTCGGTTGACGATATGTGATTATATGGCCAGTCTTTTCTTATAAAATTGACATAGCCAGTGAGGTTGTCACCCATCAGTTTAAACTGGATCCGAATTGAAACCTATAATAAATGGCTTTACAGATGAAGCCGTCTTTTTCTGATTAGAGCCAGGTTCTTCCAAATATGGGAAGCAACCAGGAGTGGCACTTGAAACCTCACAATGGAGCTCAGTCAGACCAGGCACAGCTCGAAAACGTTCATCATGTCTTCTTAGTGATAATATAATGGTCAGGTTCTCTATTCAGACATGTAGAGTGTGGTTCTTATTACCTGACAGTTTCGGCGACAACGCCCGCCTTCTTCAGAGATGACAACTGACAGCCGAAACTGTCAGGTAATAAGAACCACACTCTACATGTCTGAATAGAGAACCTGATCATTACAGACCAGGCACATCAATGAAAACTATCATGGCCCCAAACATATCTCTCTTTAATCACTGTCTACATTTCATTGAACACATTGCACACAAAAGTGATGTTTGGTATTTTAATACATTGTTAAAATCATTTGCAGAATTACAAACATGCGTTTCTCTAAAATTCATGAACATTTTTCAGTGTAGACTGATATATGTCATGTTTATACGGTCTTACTTTGCACAAAGCCAGTTGTAATGTTGATTGATAGACACCCACCAAACCTTAATTATTTGACACGCCTCTGGTTATTTCAGTGTGGTTATTACACTCAAAAAAAGCCTTGACCTGTTTTGGGCTGCTTTGCTTCTGCTTTTAAAGGATCTGATTTATATTTGCACACTTTTTTTTTTTTGAGTGTGCAAGTTGAAATTTCAAGTGTTCACATTTGTGCAAGTGCATGACGATCAATAAGCTGTTTTGGTGTGACTGTAACTGGCCCAGGCAGCTACTGCGTTAACCACAGCAGTGGAAAGCAGCACTTCTCACTTCAGTGGACTGTGGTATCCACACCTAAAAATGCGGTCTTCTTGTGAAATGCAG